TCCCTAACATTCTGTGATTCTGTGTGAAAACTGGGAAAATAAGTGCAGACGGATATCAAGGAACATCACAAGTATAGAATGGCTCCCATATGAAAATCTACTAAACAGGTGAGAATTCAGCTGGGAAGACCGTCTGCCCTCTGCTTCTGAGTGGGGATATGACAAGCTAGAAAGTCCTAAGTAATTTAGGTAACATAAAAAGTGAAGGGGAAAAGTTATTTGCTCCCGTAATACAAGGATGAGGGGGCATTAAGTGAGGTAATGTTCAAAAATCAGTTCAATTAGATACTTTTTTTAAATTCGGGAGTCATTGCCACAAGATAAGGTGGGTGCCAAAAACGTATACTATTTCAAAATATGATCAAATGAAATCACAGAAAGAAGTATTTTGCAAGATGCATTAAAGTCAATTATACTGTTTCTGATTCAGAAATTACCTGAGTGGAAGCTGGGCATGTTATGGAGAAGTATTGGTATTGCCTTGCAAAGTTTTTGTATTCCATAGGGTTTCACCTTTGGCACCTGCTGGAAGCAGAACAAACAACTTCGCTTGACCAAGTTCTGGTTCAGGTTCACCCACTTCAGTGTTTTGATGCTCTTATGAACGAGAGAGAAGTACCACCTTTATCAAGCTGTTCTGCAGTGCTGGTGTCTTGGGTCAGGAATCTGGTCATTTGAGGTTTTTCCCTTCTTTTTTACTTATTTTTATTATCCTTGTTTCCTGATTGCAGGCAAAAGAAGGAGGAGCTGTCACAGAGGATAGCTGAAGAAAGAGCTCGCCGAGAAGAGGAAGAAGCTCGCAGACAGGAAGCAGAAAAAACCCGAAAGGATGCAGAGGAGGAGCGGGAAAAGGAAGAGCGGCTGCGCCGACAGGCGGAAGAGAGACAACAGAAGGAGAAAGAAGAGATGGAACGCATTCAGAAACAAGTACGCTTCCTCCTGGCATTTCTGTGCCAGTCTGGGTGGCAGTGAAGTAGATGCAGCAACACCTCTTAAGCATCATGTGGTTTAGAGGGATATCTAAAATTTAAGTGCTTTTATATATAAAGTGAATAGGGTCGTGGCAGAGTTCATTCCATTGAGTGGTTCAAAGAGTAAAGATATTTCTTCTAGGCAAAAAAACATATCGTAGGGAATTGAATTTTGTTTTTTCCCCTGTAGAATTTATTTATTTAGAACAAATCCTTTCTTATTCCTGATAAATTTTGATGAAAAAAATCACTAGAGTTGTATTGGGGGATTTTAATGAATAGTGTTATACCAGAGACCTCTTTGTCCCCACAGCTATAGAAAGTCAAGATGCCAAGATAACTAACTATTCAGAGTGTTGGAGACATAGCACTGCTGAGTTCTAATCCGATGCCCAATATTGCTTTGTGTGAGGCTAGTGGGTAGGTTTTTGATCAATTTCATCAAGCCAAGGAGAACCTTTACCTGGTGCAGTCCTCCTGAAATCAGAGGAGTTGCTCAAAAGACATAAGAGTAAATAAATCAAAATAGAATTTTTCAAGTGCTCTCATTTTTGATGGGCACAATGTTGGTTTACTGGCCTTAGGAGAGGCTGTAGTAAGCATTTTGAATAGGGTTCTTCTCTTCTTACACATGCTCTTACTTTGTGCAAGTGCTTTCTTGCCCCCAAAATTCAGAACTCTAATCTGCCTCATAGACATTATCTTTTTTTTTCTTCTGGAATATAATTAAATGTATGCTTTTGAAAATAAATGTTTAAAGCATTATTTTAGTGAATATAGATTAGAAACTGTAGTTTTATTTTTCAGAAGATGTATGGTGCTTTCTTTGAAATGCTAAACTGAGGTACATCCCCAGTTTAGCTCTCAGAGATAACACACGTCCAAGGTTTTTTTTTGATGTTACAGGCTTAACAAACAAACTGTTGTAGTAGTTCCATCATACAATGCTGTGGGGGAGCAAGGCCCTTCTGCAGGATATTCC